GACCACGAATTACAAATTTTTGGAAGAGTTCTATTGCTATTTCGCGCGGCAATCCACAACGATGTAATGAAAGTGAAGGTCCAATGACTCAACAGATATAGGTTGTCGAAAGGATTTCGGAGACCCGCCAAAGCATAAAAGCCATGATCTTCCAGAAAGTGAATCCTATTCGAAGAGTGCATAACCGCATGGATAAGCTCACACTAACCCATCAATTTGGGATCCAATTCGGGATTTTTTTTCTTTGAGGGATATTGGTAAGGATTTAGAATGTAATAATATCGATTCAGATAGATGTCATAGATTGGTTTTAGCTTAGACTCCAAAATTTCAAAACCGGCCTCATCCTCTAGTAGACCGGTTTCGTCTTTCATATTCTCTTATATATAGATAGATAAAACATGCTACAAAGAATTGAATTTTTGTCTTTCATATTCTCTTTGATATAATGAGATAAAATCTCCACCATATCTTTGTTTTCATATGTCAGAACATGACTTTGCAGACCTCTCATATATGAGAACTTGACTACTATGAAAGATAAAAACACAAAATTTAACAAAACGTGAAGATAAAAAAAACACACAAAAATAGTTTTTACGTCCTTGTGTCTTTTTGTTTTGTGGCCCCCAAAACCAAAAGAAAATGACGTTTTTTACCCTGAAAGAAAAGGACGTTAAACCTACTATACGTGGAGGTTTAAAGGTTTTGGAGACAAAACACTGATAATATCGAATTAAAGCATAAACTATTTTTCCCAAATAAATCGAACTAGTAATTCTAAATACTCTAAAACCATTAAACACCAATTAATAATTATATAGTGATACTATTTTTTTATTTCTTAACTTTACTACTTAAACCGAAATTTTATGTACTCATAAAGTTTTTCCTTTTATCGCAATAGCATGGAAAACTTTGCAATCTTTTCCAACCGAACAAAGATTACAATTATATCCATATATAAAAATAATTTGTTTTGGTACTCTTACTACTACAAATGGAAGATTAGGAAACGTGTGGGTTACCACTGCAACCACTAAATCCAGTCAATTAATTAAAATTTTCTTTTGTTTACAAAAAAAAAATTGATATCCAAATCTATAGAACAAACGAATATTTTTATCATTTATTATATTTTACGGACCAACTATTATTAAAATAATGAGGAAATAATTCGAACACTATTAACCAAATTCGAGAATGAACATTTCAATTACTAGACAACTATTGATTAGTTGATAACTAGCAAAATTGGTGGTAAATTGGCTTGTTCTATCAAGATTTATGAGAGTTTATGTTAAGAACAATTGAAATTATATTCCATATATATATATATGTGTGTGTTACTTCTTTCTAATGAGGAAATCTAATAAGGATACATTATACATATCACGAGAAAAAAGACCAACACAATTTTGAGATATTTTTTTTAAAAACTGTCACGTACGTGAGTGACATGTTATAAGCATGAATAATGTTGGAGATATCAATATCTGATAATTGATTGCCACACCACATGGACGTAAGCCAAGTAGTGAAGAATGATCAATAATATAAGTAAAATGGATCGGCCACCACTAATATGCATCTTTTTGCATCATTGGACAAAGCAGAAATCATTAGGTAATAGTAGTTGGTATAATGTTCGGAGATTGATTTAATGATTTGGATATATTTATATTATATGGTGTCGGGCGATTTATAATTAATTGATGTTTTAGTGAGTGATTTGAGTTGTGGCGATAGAATATCAAGTGTTGGCCACAAGGCATAGAACAATGATTAAAACAGATTTCGTTATCCATTGAAGCATTGAACAAAATCGGTTTGTCTTGGACGATTTTAATTCTATCACCTAAATATTGTGGATGCATGATTTTTCGTATTATGTTTGATTTTTATGTGGACGACTAATTTATCAAATAAAATTTTTAAATAGGTACATATCATTTAACTGTTGCGAGTCTGTTTAACAAAAAAAAAAAAATTTAACTGTTGCGAATTGTGTAATTTTTTTTGTATCATGTTATCCTTTTGTGGATATCAAATGTACTAAATAAAATTCTAGTTCCATCACATGAATGCAGGGTGTAATCTATTATCTCAAAGGT